CTATGGAAGCGCTAGCTGCCAGTACCCTATCGCTACACTACACTGTTCTGCCCACTTCGTCTTCGGGCACACTGTAGACCTCCTCGCACAAGCTGTTGAGGCAGCGCTTCCGCATGGCATCCGCAGGAATGAATAATGGCTGGACACAGCCTCTTGATTTATATTTCTGCGCTGCGTTGGTCTGCCCTGTGTCCCTTCGCCCTTGGTGCACACAGTCCCAGACGGTACTTGCTGGACAGGACTGGACTGCCTAACTGGGACTGATGACTCAGCAGGGTGGCCTACCACCACTTGACCACTTGCTTCTGTTCAACGTAGGCTCACTCCGAAAGGCCGCTTCTAGAAACCTCTGACTTGGCCTTTCGGTGCTGTAGCAGCTACAACTTTGCCCCTTCAGGTAAGTAGCAGCTACGACCTTGACCTTTTAGACAACCTACAACTACGACTTCGGAACTGTCTAGACTTCTACCCTACAAGTCCACAGTTCGATTCCCTTCTAAGCTGTGATCTGCGACAATCCACCTACCACTGGCGTTTCGACAGGTCGCAGGTTCAAATCTACGGGTTGACATCAATACTGTACACAGGTAATATGGGGAACTAGGGATCGAGCCCTGGGATCTGCATTCGCTTCTGCGGACTGGTGAATACCGTTTCACTCCCGCCGGCCTAAATTCAAGGTCCTCCGAGAAAATTCAGTCCAAGGCAGGATCTTTACCTTTCTGTTTTCTCTCGTAGGCTCGGACTATATCGGGAGCTGTCTCTAGAAGTTCAGATCTTGTAAACCAGCGGTCGTCTTCGGGTTCTTGATAACTAAAATGAACCTTGTACTGTTTCTGTGGATGACCCCTACCTCCAGTCCTGAAGACATCTTCAACCACTATCCCATCAATGTCGTATCTTCCATCCATATCCGGTGGGATCATGGACCTACGGGATGGAAACTGATCACTTGTTTGACACAGTAACAACTTTGATGCATGGAAAACAGGATACGTGTGGAGATGTGCTGGGAGTTCTATGGTATAGGACGGTCCATCTTCGCCGCCCTTGACTTCTAAGACCGGCCACGGTCCTCTATAGGTGGGCAGTAACTTCTGCGAGATGTTCTCCTCAGGTGCAAACTCTTTAGAACTGACCCAGACTAAGTCGCCTACTTGGAACTGTGAGGGGCGATGATGCTTATTGGCTTGTTCTATCATCCTGTGCTGGGCCTTTCTGAGGTTCTCTACTACAGTAGCTAGTTCTTTCTCGTGTTGCACAACAAACTCCCTGGTCCCGGGCGGCAATCTGTGAATCTGATCCCGGCTAAGTCCTTCAAACGGTCTACGGGGCCTAAAGGACTTGTGCAGTTCGTTGGGAGTGCGGCAGGTGGACAGATGCAAGTTGTTATTATATGCACTAGCTACCTTAGGTAACATCTCATCCCAGTTAATCTGATCTGGCCTAATGTACATGCGCAGAACTTGCTGTAGGATCTTGTTCATTTGCTGTGTCTGACCGTTAGTCTCTGGATGACGGCCAGACGACATCAACAACTTAGATCCATACACTCCCATGAGTTCTGGCCAGTTCTGGCTGGTAAAGCGACTATCTCGATCGCTAACTATTGACAGCGGGATTCCATTCTCACTAACCCTGCAGTCAAAAAACCTCTGAATGACTAAATTAGTACGTGCCTCTGACGGCAAAGGAACAAAGACTGCGTACTTACTAAATCGGTCAACTATGACCATGACTTGGCTCTTGCCATGCCTGCTCTTGACCTGAGTGTCCATGAAGTTGATGGACACTGAGTCTCCCGGTTGGTCCGGAATGGGTAAGGGTCTGAGAAGACCTAACGGGGCGCGCGTAGAACTCTTGTTACGCTGGCAGACCTTACAACTGCGAACATACTCTACGNAGAAGACCTAACGGGGCGCGCGTAGAACTCTTGTTACGCTGGCAGACCTTACAACTGCGAACATACTCTACGCAGTCATTCTTCATCCCTGGCCACGTATACGCGCGCATCAAATTGGCTAAGGTCTTTTGCCAACCAAAATGACCCTCTGTGTCATGGCATTCGCCCAAAATCAGACTATGAATCTCTTCGCTATTGGGAATGCACAGGCGGTCAAATACATTAGTCTTCTCAAAGAGCAGCCCTTCAGTAGTGCGGTAGTTCGGCTCAGTCTCTGGGGCCTCCTTGACCTTCTTAAGGAGCTCACTATAGATAGGGTCCTGCGCATAGGCCTCTCTAACCTTCTGTCGCAGGTCCTTCCCTATATCAAGATAGTGTACTATTGCCCCAAAGTAATCTGCCCTCCTACTCAGAGCATCCGCGACTACGTTGTACTTCCCTTTGACAGGCTTGAGCTCGAAGTCGTATTGATCTATCTCTGCGGCCCACCTAGTAAGCTTAGGTGTCATCTTGGCCTGCGTCTTTAACCATTGTAACGTTTCATGGTCAGAATAGACTTTGAAGTGCCTCCCAAGCAAGTAGTGTTTCCAGTGGTCCAAGGCTTGCCTGAGAGCGTAGAGTTCCCTCTCATAGGTCGATGTCGCGACCTTCTCTGAAGGCATCTTGGCGGACATGAACTCTACGGGTCTATACCCATTGCCATCGTCTTGCTGCAACGCTGCGCCTATGCCGTATTGACTCGCATCAGTCGTGACGACAAAGGGCAAGGACGGGTCGGCGACTTTAAGGACTGGATACTCTATCAATGCTTGCTTTAACTTCTTCATGGTAGACGTGCAGTCCTTATCCCACTTCCAGATGGTCTCCTTTCTCAGCAATCTACGAAGGGGCGCAGCGATGGTGGAGAAGTTCCTCACGAACTTCCTATAGTAATTAGCTAGGCCCAGGAACGAGCGCAACTCTGTCAGCGTACGTGGTTTCAGCCAATCTGTAATCGCTGGGATCTTGCTATCCTCTGGCTTAACGCCGCCTCCGTCTAAGACGTGGCCTAGGTACAGAACTTGGGTCTTTGCCCAATCGCACTTCTTTGCATTGATCTTGAAGTTAGCTTCCCGCAGCTTCTCCAAGACCTGCCTGAGATGACCCTGATGCTCTTCGAGGGTCCTGCTAAACACCAGAATGTCATCTAGATAAACTACAACAAATCAATCTAACCACGGCCTAAACATATCGTTCATACAGCGCTGGAACGTAGCTGGCGCATTGGTTAGTCCAAAAGGCATCACTATGAACTCGTAGTGCCCATATCTAGTCCGGAAGGTTGTCTTGTACTGATCATCAGGATGCACCTCTATCTGATGATATCCGGACTTCAAATCTATCTTGGAGAAATACTTCGCCCTCTGCACTCGATCTAAGAGATCGTCTATCCTAGGCAGTGGCTCAACATTCTTCACTGTAATGGCATTCAGACCCCTATAGTCTATACACATCCTCAGCTCTCCCTCTTTCTTAGGGACAAAGAGAACAGGGGCTCCAAAAGGAGACGAACTGGGCCTAATCCAACCCTTTTCAAGGAGCTCGTCCAACTGCTTCCGCAACTCCTCTAACTCCTGCGGGGACATCCTGTACACAACACCCTTAGGAGTTCTACTGCCAGGCTCTATCTCAATACGGTGTTGGATGGGCCGCGGCACCGTGCCTGTCGGCGGCTCAGTCAAATCCTTAAACTCTTCCAACAATTTGGCAATAGCAGGGTCTACGGGCTTCTCTTCCTTAGGCTCAGTGATTGGCCTAACATAGGCAACAAAGACCTGTTCCTCTAAGTGCTCCTTCTTCACTAATCTGGCGAACGCAGGAGCACTGAGGCAACAATGTGCCAATGAATTCTCTACTCCTGACACATGGAACAGGCGGGCAGCCTTAGCCTCGCCTGCAGCACTATGGAGCCTACACTCGTGCTCCTTCAAATGGAGCGTGGCCCCAGCTGCCTCTCCCCAATCCATTCCCAGCACAATATCAAACGGGAGGCTGTCCTCTACGAGGAGAGTCAGGGAGTGGAGGACCTTCTCCACCTTCCCGTCTTTCTCTAGGCGGAAATATGTCTGGACTCCCTCTACGTAATCCTCTACCACCATGGTACGATTGTCCGCGAGGATACTAACTATGGGGTCTGTCAGTTTCTGGACTTTAAGTCCCAACCTCAACTTCTGCAGCGCTTTCTTACTAATATAGCTGCGGGTGGCCCCTGAGTCTACTAGGGCCCCTACTCTACTTCTAAAAATCTCTGCATCTAATAAAATCAGCTGCCCTTTATTCTCCTTCTTCATCTTGGCCAGGCGGGCCTCCTCTCCTTCAACTCTTCGGCCTCTCTGGGCAGCTATCTAGACACCGGCTTGCAACCTTTGCCATAGGCACATGTGGTGTGGGAGACTCCTGCCGGCTAGCGCTATATTCCCCACATGGCCTAGTGGTAGGGGCAGTTGCTACCCCTACCGGCGGCTGCCTTTTGGCCCTTGGGCAGCCGTTCGGGTCTCGCGATACTTAAAACAATATTTGATGATATGGCCCGGGTCACCGCAGAAAATGCACTGGCCCCGGTCCAATCGTTGTTGCCATAAAGTCTGGTCCAGACCCAAAGTTTCCCAAGGCCTACCCTGAGGTAGCCCTGGGTGCCATCCTCCTACCCTATAGGGAGACCTATTCCTAGGACGGTTTTGCGGGGGATCTTGACCCYTGCCTCCCGCTTGGCGGTTTCCTCCTCTACCGCCAACCCCCTGATCGCCCTTGAAACGGCTCCCTGAGGCCCGGCCCCCTTGGCCTTGGCCTCATCCTCCTCCTTGCGGCCTCCCTCCAGCCGTGACAGCAGCGTAAGTTCTCCCGTGGCCCACACCGCTGTCATCCTCCTCGAACCCCCACTCAATCTGGTCGTAGGGGATCTCATCCACACTACCCTCATCTAGAGTTAGGACAAGGCTATCCTTAGTCTTCACTTGCCTAGAGATAGTGCGGCCCTTCCATTGCTTTCCCTTATCCAAGTCTTTGTGCCAGAAGGTAGACACAGATGCGGACTTGGCTTCAAAGGCCACCACTTCACGACTAAGAGAATCATACGTAGTGGCCGGATCTTCGCTCTTCGCGAAGAAGTGCCCTCGCAAGGCTTCGGGGATAGCCCGGTAGAAGAGGCCGACCAATTGGGTGTTTGTGACCCCATGGTCAGGAACAACGATTAATTCATCCATTGTGCTCTTGCGTGCCCTGGCACTCTTCCACGTACGAGCGTGGATTGTCTGGAGCCTATCTGAGGCCTTGACACTTCGAGCGACATCTGCAAATCGCTCGCGCAGCAATCTCATGAACTCAGTGAGGGAAGTAATTGCCGAATAGGCAACGGGATCGTCACTGCAGTTGGCAGCGCGAACAAGGGATCTTGCGAAACTGGCGGCCTCATCTCTAAGTGCGTGGATCGCAATTAGAACTTGCTGATCCGGGGAGACGTGTTGCAAATGCACGTAGGTCTTAACTTTGGCCTCCCAGTTATCAAAGTTCTCTTCCCTCTTCCCACTGTAGGAATCATGGAATTTGACCTTGACTGGCTCTCTACGTGGCGGGCGTGGTTCCTCCTCCTTGGGAGCCGCCGCCTTGACGCCCTCAATGGCGCCAGCGCAAAATCGTTCAGTCTTCTCGAGGCGATGATTCACCTCGGATCCTATCGCGCCTACCAATTCGCGAGCAAAGTCCCGAAACCCCATTCGTATGGAGCGCACAGCCATGTCCTAACTTTGACTAAAATCGTACTGTTGTTCTTGTATCCGGGCTAAGCGCTCGACAGTCTGGGCAATGAGTTCTACCTTTTTCTCAAGGTCTACCTGAGGGGTCAACTTCAGGGTTAGTTGCTGCATCTCCCCTAGGTCCTTAACCGCGTCAATCGCCGCGTCCACTTTCCTCTTCTTTTCCCTCATCACTCTCAACTTTCACTCCATCCTTTTTTCATCCTCCATTGCATGCCGCCTCACAACATCCCTTTGTGCTTCCCACTCCATAGCGGCTTCCTGCTCGTCCTTGGGGATATACATGGCTACCTCTTCTTCTTCTCCCAAGGACAAGTTGGTGACCCACTCTAAGATCCGCTTCTCCATCTCATCATCTTTGCTGCCACTGTACTGCCCTCGCTGTTCTCTTCTCCTCTCCAGTGACTGATCATCTTCCTCCTTTTCTTCTTCCACCTCCTTCAACTTCTGCTGTTCTTCCTTTTTCAATCTTTCCTTCTCCCTGGCCATCTCCTCCTCTATCTTTCTCAACTTTGCCGCCTGCTTCTCCTGCAGTGCCTTCTTCTTGGCCTCCTTCTTCTCCTTCCTCACCTGCAGGATGGCGGCCATCTTCGCCTCCCCCTCCTTTGTGTACGGCATAGTGGAGGTGCCGCGCCGGGTGTCTACCATGGTGGTGTCAGGTGCATGACAAAGGTCCCACTCCTCACCACTTGGACCTACCCGGACACTGACCTACTGACTGACTTTCTAAAAACCACTACTCAACTACTCTAAGGCTGTCACTACAGAACCAACAGCTGATCAGGAGGCATTTAAGGAGATCCCCCAAACTCCGCAAGAATTCTTTAACGYYGCAGACAGGAYGACGTGATCAGCTTGGTTCTTCCTGGCGATTTCAGCCCACAACTCAGCCGTTCCAGCCTACTGTGCCACACCGAGCAGCCCGCCGGTCTGTACCGGTCCGGGACAGTCGAGTCGTCAGACACAGATCATCAGCTGTAGTAGGTCCGGTAGGGGAGTGGGTCAACCAGGCCTCAACACCTAAAGACGGCCTTCGTTTCAGCCTACAGCTCGGAGTTCAGACCCTCTATACTGAACTCAGTAGACCTGCCGGACAGTACCGGTCATTGGGCTAGACGAGTTGTTTAACGAGCGCTCGCCGCTCATGCCCAGGTCTCCTTCTAAGCATAGAGCTTTGGTCCTTCTAAGCCCGTGCAGGTTTGGCAGCAAGGCCCTATCCTTCATCCACAGAGTCCTAACACCTAGGACAGAAGAGACTCAATGCAGAAAGGAAAGACAGACAGACTCAAACTCAGCAAGTACCATAGGGTGAATGCACATCCACAGGGTAAGGGGATAGGCTAAGGGCTCAGCGAGATATCACCAACTCCAGCGTGGTCAAAGTCTTGGTCAGCAGCTCCAGTCAACGCCTTGGTCAACGCTGAGTCAACGCGGACAACCCCCAGTCAATGCTTGGTCAACCACCTTGGTCAACGCCCGGTCAACCCTCTGGTCAATGGTCTGGTCAACGCCCGGTCAACTCCTCACCTTGGCTATGGCTGACGGCACCTTCGCCTTCGTCACCCTCGCCGTCTACTTCCCCTTCCTTTAC